CAGGGTCTTGCAAACAGGGCAGTCCTGACACCCAGCTTCTGGGCGAGGTTGCTGACACTCCTCCACCCACCCCAGGGTCCTGCAGGCAGGGCTGGAGGTGGAGCGGCTTCGACTGCGCAACTTCTACCACCACTACCACTCCAAGCGGGGCATGTGGGGCACACGCAGCCGGAAGGGCTCCCACACGGAGCGGTCTTGAGGATGAGGCAGCCCCCAAGGGGTCCTGTGGCAGCAGCTGAGGGCTGTGCTCTGAGCCCTGTCCCAGGCACAGCCACCAACCTTGCCTGCCCCTCTGCACCCACCAAGGCTCCCGATGGCCCTCGCCTGAGAGGCAGACTTCACAGCTGGTCGGGGCGGGCCACGGTGATCCCCACAGTCCACAATGATTTCTGTGAAATTTTCTGTAGCGATGACATTGTTTTCAAGATTTCCAAGAGTTCTGTCTGTCCCAGTTTTTATTCAGAAAGAAATGAAATATTTTTTTTAGTTCCGACTTGTCCTCTGTGGCTTGTGCTCTAGGGAGGCACTGCCTGCCCCTGTGCCCCTCACTTGACCACTCCTGCCCTGCCCTGGCCTTCAGCATGGGTCCCAGGAGTTCATTTCTTCCCCGACACCCCCTTGTGCAGTCTTTGGTCACAAGAACAGACGGTGGGGGGCCTTCCCACACATGCCAAGAGGGGGCTCTCACTGTCCCCTCTGCTTTAAAAGCAGAACATGGGGCTGGTGCTTCTGCATCTTCCCAAGGTGGGGGCCTGGATCCGTGAGCACTCTGGGTGGCCAGGAATAGGAAACCCGGTTCATGTTGGGGTAGGGCCCAGTGGTAGAGGACACAAAGCACAAAGTCCCCGCTTCATTCCCAGCACTGGGGCGGGGCGGGGCGGGGGGGGGGGGCAACTCAACCTGCTTACATCATGGAGCCGGGGAGGGGTGGTGGTTTGACATTTGCTCCTGCTGGGAGAACGCTGAGGGTATATTGACCAGAGCCTGGACAGTGCCACTGAGGGCCACTCTTTCCTCTCTGTCCTCGGTGTCTCAGCTTCATCTCAGCCTGGGTCCAGGCCCAGGAGCCAAGCAGGTGCTGTGCCCACAGCTGGGGAGCAAGTCAGCACAAAGCTGGTGGTTTAAAATGGCACTGATTCATCCCCCAGTTCTGAGAGCGGAAGTCCCAAGGCCGTGGCCCAGCAGGGCTGCTTTCTCTGGAGACCTGGCCTGGCCCTTCCTCGCCTTCTCCCATTGGACTTCTCAGTCATGCGCCTTCATCTTCAGAGCCAGCAGCTGTGAGGCTTGCTCGAGTTCCTGTGCTCCCCCAGACTCCTTGCCCCTCCAAGAACCCTGTGATTACACGGGGGCCACCCAGGGTCCCCCCCAGGCAACTCAGAGCCCCTGCCCGCTCCACATCCTTCATGCAGTCACATCTGCAAAGCTCCTTTGGTTGGCCGTGAAGTTAGGAATGAGGGTTCCTCTGGGGCCACTGTTCTGTCTGCCTCCTTGCTCACGCTGGGTGGGAAGGAGGCCGGTTGATGGTGTGTAGCCCTCCCTCGGGATCCACGCGGGTCAGCCCCGGGTGGTCTCAGTACACAGGGCAGCCAGAAAGGCGAAGCTGGAAGGACAGAGGTGCCTGTTCAGCCCTGAGATCCCAAGGATAGCACTGCTGGAAGCAGCAGCCCTGGGGCAGCTGGCCACTGCCCAGCCCACAGAGACTGGCAGACACCAAGTTTCCTGTGACTCGCTGCCTACAAATGAGGACCCGTAGGACAGAGACTGGCCAGCCACAGATTCAGTTGGAACCCCAGAGGCCTGTACTATCCTCTGCTCTCAAAGAGGTGGTTCAGACAAGTTGTCCCCAAAGATATTTCATCATGAGAAAAGCAGCACTGGACTTAAGATCACAAGCTACCGGGCACGGTGGGATGCGGAGAGAAAGGTGGGGCACACGGAGGAACCGTTGGCGGCAGAGACAATCTTGAGGCAAAACACCACAGACTGTTAATTCATTTGATCACTGAGCGTCCCCTTGTGTCAGGCCCTGTCTCTAAAGGACAGTCACCCCAGCACAGGTCGGGAGGCACATCAGACACACTGTCTGTGCTGGTGGCAAGTGCTGCAGAGAAACAGCCAGAGGGGACATGAACACTGGAGCAGGGGACTTGCCGGAGGTCCGTCTCTAACTGGGTGGGCAGGAAAACCTGGAGCCAGCGCTGGGGCCCAGCAGGAGGGCGCAGGGGGCACCGCCAGCTGGAGGGGACTGGAAATGAGGGATGAAGGCAAGAGAAATGAAAGTTACCCACTACACTCGGGAAGGAGAGGAAAACAAAACTTGCACAGACATAAAATCCACTCTAGCGATTTCTGAGAATAGCTGTTGTTGGGAACCTGGTGAGGGCACAGGAGAAAGCACACAGAAGGAAATGACGGACAGCAGATGAAAGGCCTGGGGCTGGGGCTCAGAGGTGGAGCGCTCGCCTCGCATGCATGAGGCACTGGGTTGGATCCTCAGCTCCACATAAAAACAAAATAAAGACTTTTTTTTAAAAAAGCTGATAAAAGAGAAAGGGGAAGGTGGACAGCAAGCCACCAACAGGCACCAAGACAACAGAGGAGAAAACATCTGTGACACAGCAGAAGAAGACTTCCGAGGTCAGTAGGGAGGGACCACAGTCTTCAGAACCCAGTGCCACCAGGCCTGTTGACACACCTAAGTTCCCAGCTGTGTGAGAGGCCGAGGCAGGGGAACGGCAAGTCTGAGCAACTTTGAGAGACCCTGTCTCAAAATTAAAAAGGGCTAGACGTGTGGCTCAGTGTGGAGCTCTTGCCTGGCATGTGCGAGGCCCTGGGTTTGCTCCCAAAAATAAAAATAAAAACAGCATGCCAAAAAGCGGGCCCGTGCATATGTAGATGAAGCTTCTGGGCTCCAAGCCAAGACCCTGTGGCCTCAGGATGGTGGGAGACCTGCGAGCCAGTAGGGGCAGGGGACTCCGCCAGGTGGGGTGCAGCACAGCTGGGTGCCAACCACGGGATGGAGAACAGAAGGGCAAAGGACTCACGGAGCAGGCGCGCTGTCCTCCAGCCAGACGTCAGCCGCTGCCGAGAGAAGGCACGCAGCCACGGCAGCAAGGGCGCCAGGGAGTGGCCCGGACCTGGCGAGGGAGCAGCGGGGGCTCTGCCAAGACCCCCGGTTCCACCAGTCAGCTCCCGTCCCCAGACCGCTGCCGCTCTGCTGCCCTCAGCACCAGAAACTCCCCTAGACACCTGGCCGGCTCTGCAGCACCTGGAAGCTGGCCAGCCGGGCAGACCTCAGCTGCGGTGCTCGAGTGTGAGAGCTGGAGGCAGCACCCACCGCCCAGCCCTTCGGTTTCTCCCCGGTGACAGCCCTGCTGCTGGGTGGAGCTTCTTTCCAGCCCCAGCCCAGCCCTGGGGCCCCTCCAGCCACAGCCCTCCCTCCGTTGCCCTGACGTTCCTGCTCCTCACAGAGACTGGGACCCCCTCAGAGGAGCATCTGAAGGTTCCCAGGGCTCCTGAGGCTACCTGCTCCCCACAGACTCCTCCCCGGCTCAGCTGTTCTGCTCCTTTTGGGTCCCCTGTGGCCTGACAGGCAGCAGTTCTGTGGGCGGCTGTGCCAGTTCATGTCTCTGCCCACCCCACCCACGGACAGAAGTGCAGCCAGGGGTATGCCTGGAGCAGAGAAGAGCTCAGAGGGCTCAGGAAACTCCTGAACCAACAAACACTGGGGTGATGGGACCAGTGGATGTGGGTCAGCCCGTGCCCAAGAAGGTGCCACCCTGGAGCAGACTGGACCCGGCCTCCTCAGCTGCCTCCACGCCCATTTGGCCTGGACACCAGCAGAGGTCAATTGGCACACTAGCAGTCCCAGGGTCCAGGGCCGGGGGCCATGCTGCCCAGGGAGCAAGTCCTGCTAGGTTCTTTGGAGGAGGCAGCTACTTTGGACTCTGCAGAGCCCAGACCCTGGGATGTCGCTAGGTTTGCAAGCGTGAGCACCGCTACCCGTGGGTTTGTGGACCAGAAGCACCTCCAGCGCCTGGAGCCCAGCAGCTTTGCCCCATCTCATCCCTGGCATCAGCTGGACACCAGGGCTGCGCTGACACACTTTCACCCCACCCCTGCAGGTGGGTGGCCACAGCGGCCTCCTTAACCTCTCTGTCAGCCAGCACACTCCTGACTTCTGCTCCCTAGCAGGGTCACCCCTTTCCCACGACCCCCCACCCCGGCTCCGGACCCATGCAGGCTTGCCCTCCATCCCTCCAGACTCCACAGCACACACCTGCAGCTCCACCCTGCTGCCTGCCGTGACAGCCCCCCACCAAACCCGGCACGAGAGTCCTCCCACTCTTACCCTGCTCTCTGCAAGGTGCCACCACCTGGGGACCAGGGCGACCACCACTGTCACCAGGGAGAGCCCTGACCTCAGGTCCTCAGCCTGGCTGCATGGAGCTCCTGGAGACGGCGGGCTATTCATCAGCTCCCTCCATGCTTCAGACCACCTGCTGCGGGAGCCTGGCCCTCCTACACTGCTCCTGCCACACCGTGGCTCCAGGGAGAGAGGGACACTCCCGGAGGGCAAGGGGCTCAGCAGGCACGGCCTGTCCCTCCAGCCTTGCAGCCATTGGAGGCAGTGCCCAGAGTTCAGGCTCCGCCAGGGTCGGGGAAGCCAGCAGTCCTGGCCTGGGGACCTGCAGGCTGCCCTGGCCTCCTGTCCAGGCCCTGTCCAGGCTGCACCTCCTTGTCTGCTTGCCTCTTCCTGGCCGAGGCGCCAACCTCACCAAAGCCCCTTGTACCAGGTGTGCTCCGGCCTTCCACCCTGTGCCCCTCGACCCTTGGACCATCCACAGTGGGCCTGAGTGAAGGGCGGGCCCCAGATGGAGCCAGGCCTGTGCCTCCAGGCTGCTCAGCGCCGCACAAACTTGTCTCCCGGGATTTTTCCACACGAAACGCATCTCCCAGGGAAGCAACCGGTCTGATGAGCTGGGTGTGCACTGTTCACCCCTCCCTCCAGTGCCCCCACAGGGCCATCTCCAACAGAGGCTGCCCACAGCAGCGGGGCCAGGATGGAGCCCAGGACGCCTCAGCGGGCAGCAGCGTCCCCGGGGGTGAGTCCCAGGGCCGGCGGGACCCGGACCTCAGGCAGGGTAGGTTCCCCACCCCACCCTGCTGCTCCAACCAGACCCCTCCCTGGGGGCGCCTCACTTCCTGGGGTCTGTTCCTCCCACTAGCCCCCACACCCTCCAGCCTTCTCAGCACAGAGCTCACCCCTGGTGCTACCCAGGACTCTGTCTCCTCACCACAGGCTGCTGCCCCCAGGAAGGCAAATGGCTTTTAGAGACCAGGTCTCGGGTCCCCATGGGGGAGACAGCTCAGACAGAGCCCAGAATCAGATCTTAGGGAGGCAGAGGCCATCGGGACAGCAGCCCAGGGACACCTGAGGAAGCCCTGGAGGGAGAGGGTAGCTGAGGCCCACTCCCACGCTCCAGCCCTGCTTGGGCCTACCCTCACCCCCATCATGGGCCTGTCCTAGATGCCATCTGCCCAAGAACACCAGAGCCTGCTGGCCCAGCTGGCTGGGTGCTCCGGGGAGCCCTTCTGGGGACCAACTCTGCTATCCCCCTGCCCAGCCATCTACCCTCTCCATCCAAGTCCCTGCCCCCAGCTCCTGCCCCCCAGCCCGGCAGGCGCTGACTTGAGCCCAGGCCCCTCTGAGTCACCCCCCTGGGGCAGCTCCGCCTGCCGGCGCCAGCCCTGCTGCACCCTGACTCATGTGTTGGGAACGGGCCTCCCACCCCAGGCCTGGGGGGCAGGAGCCAGGAGAGGTGCCAGACAGGCCCAGCAGCCTTCTGAGGACTCCATTGGGTCGGTGGGCACAGTTCCTGAGGCTACAGACCTGGGGGAGGGCCTGTCCATCCGCAGACACCACCACCCCCACCCCCGCCCCCTGAGATCTCCCTGGGATCCAAGCGTGAGGACAAGGGTCCCCACAGGGCCACCTCAACCCTGAAGTTCCAGCCCTCTGTCTTCCACCCATGCCCTCAGCACTGACCTGGCCCTAACAGCATCTACTTCCCACCCTGCCCGGGGCCTCCCCAGCCTTGTGTGGGCTGTCTTGAAGCCTGCTTGGTCACGGAGCTTCAGAGCCCCCAGCCCAGGACGCGCCTCAGGCTGGGGACAGCAGGCATGAGCTCCCCAGCTGTCTGTCCAACACTCAGGACGACACTCAACACAGAGGCCAGCTCTGGCCTTTGCAGGCTGAGAGCAAATAGGGCCCAAACCCGTGGCCCTGTCTTGGGATGGGAGAAAAGGAGGCGGGAGGCCAGGCCAGCGCTTGGGTACACACAGGGCCTGCTCTTCCGCCCAAATTCCACCTTAAGCAGGCGCGGCCCCTCCCTCCCACCTGGCCCAGGTGTCCCCGCCCCTAGCCGCACTCAGCAGGGCGGGCAGGCGTCTGTCTCCAGGCTAGGCGTGCCCGTGGAAGGGACTTTGGGGACAGGGCCTAGAGAGACAAGACTGTGAAGAGGCCCAGGCCAGGCACCCTGGCTGCCATGCAGGACGGTAACTTCCTGCTGTCGGCTCTGCAGCCCGAGGCCGGTGTGTGCTCCCTGGCGCTTCCCTCAGATCTGCAGCTGGACCGCCGGGGTGCGGAGGGGCCAGAGGCTGAGCGGCTGCGGGCAGCCCGCGTCCAGGAACAGGTCCGAGCCCGCCTCCTGCAGATGGGCCAGCAGCCAAGGCACAATGGGGCAGTCGAGCCTGAGGGGGCCACCGAGGCAGCCAGAGGTAAGCCTCAGAGGACCAGGTGGGCCATGGACGGGCGGTGGAGACCACCAAGGGGATGGCAGCGGGCGGAGGTGGCCTCGGTGGGTGTGGCGCTGTGAGGGCAGAGGCCGCAGGGACTGGGGTTCAGGCCTTGACTCACCGAGGCCTACTCTGAGTCATGGCCCCGCCCCAATGGGCCAGGAGCAGCCACAGGTGGGGTTCCAGCAGCGACCCCCCCCCCTCCGGCCTCCAAGGATGCAGCCTAGTGAGGTCCACCCGCCCCTGGGGCCTGAAGCCCTCCCTGCTGGGGCGCGGGGAGCGTGAGCGCACAGCAGTGGACCAGGCCCAAGTGCTGGCCAACCCGGAACACACTCACGCCTGGTCCCCGGGGCACAGGCTCAGGAGCTCTCAGACAGAGAGCGGTAACCCCACACTCATGGGAGTGAGACAGACAGGAACACTGGAAGGGGGGTCTGGGAAGCCCTGGACCGGAGCCAAAACCCGTCTGGACCAGCCGCTCCCTGAGGAATTGCAGGGGCGGGCCCACATACTCCATGACAGACAAGGGCAGGTGGGTGCTTTCAGTACACCAGCCCACCCAGTGTGTGTGTGTGTGTGTGTGTGTGCATGTGCGTGTGCGTGTGTGCGTGTGTGCACGTGTAAGGGTCACACAGGCATGGTACATTCAGGGCAGTTGTTCTAGAAATGTGATTTTCTCCCTTTCTGGGCTATAGCAACAAAGACAATAGTTAGATAGTAAGATGAACCTCTAGATAGAGGCCCAGACCCCAGGGTACAGTGGTTCATGTGCCATTTGGAGGGTCTCCAGAATTGGTCTCCAGACACGGACAGAGGAAAGAGGGTCCGCAAGGGGGCCGGCCAGGCCAACTGGATTGCAGCCTGTATGGCCTCTCTGGGCCCCAGGGGTCATGGGGTGGGGGGGGGTGCAGGGAGGGGTTAATTACCACCCTAGCTATCCTGCCAATTAGGGAGAGGAGGATTATAATTTGGGGGTGGGCGTAAAGTCCCCAGGCTGGGGGTGTGCCCCCACCAGGCTAGGCCTCCCTAGCCTCAAAGGGTTAATAGTCCTGCTCAGAAGCCCCATTAACCAGGGTGGGTCTGGAGAGTGGGCGAGTGGGGAGGTCCCCCACACCATCTGGCTCTGGGGCACAGCTGGGAGGCAAGGCCCTCCTGTACCCCGTCCTGCCCCCTTGGCCAGTTGCTCTGCCCAGAGAGCCCCTTGCCATTAGCCCGGGCCCTGGCAGAGGCAAGCCCCTGCCCGCACCCTCTGGTGCTCCCAGGCTCCCACGGCATCACCCTGCCTGTGGGGTGGTCTGTTTCCAGCTCCCCTCCTGCACCACACCTGCTCATCTGGCTGCCCCTCCACATCCACAGCAAGACCCCCTCACTGGCCTCCTTCCCCTTCCATCCACCTACCTTTATTCTTTTTTTTTTGGTTCTGGGAATTTAACCCAGGGCCACTTACACCGAGCCACATCCCCAGCAAATTTTTTTAAATTGTATTTGGACACGATACCTTGATTTTATTCATTTATTTTTATGTGGGGCTGAGGATCGAACCCAGGGCCTCGCACATGCTAGCGAGCATTTTACCGCTGAGTCACCACCCCAGCCCCCAGCTCTTTTTTATATTTTGAGACAGGGTCTCACTGAGTTACTTGGGGCCTCGCTAAGTTGCAGAGGCTGGCTTTGAACTCGTCATCCTCCTGCCTCAGCCGGCCAAGCCGCTGGGATTACAGGCGTGTGCCATAGCACCCAGTGTCCACCTATCCTTCTCAGGGGCCAACCAGCCCTCTGTCCCCACCCACTCACCTTTCTGTCCACTCACTGCTGCCCTTAGCTTCTGTGTGGCTGAATGCGGTGGGTGTGGCCCCTGCCTCAGGCCCTTCCAGGTGGGAGAGGCACTGCCCATGAGGGCAGACTGGCCCAGGAAGACTGCGCCCTCGGCTAGAGCACCATGACTCCCGTGTGAACGTAGCGCAGACGGGGTCTGGGAATAGGAAGAGGTCAAAGAGGTCAGCATGGGCCAGGGAAGGCTAGGCTGGCTTCCTGGAGGAGGGGGCTGGGCACTCTGCCCTAGTGGGGATCAGGCAGCAGATGAAAACGATCCTGGCACACTCCCCAGGCAGCCAGGAGGGTCATGGGGTGAGTGGCCTGTCCTCCCTCAGACAGGAGACATCACAGGGCACTGCGGGAGAGGGACTGGAGGAGAGGAGGGGCCAAGGCTCTGGCCCCAGAGCCCACTGGCCCCCTGCCCTGGGCCAAGAACCCTTCCGGTGTCACAGACAGAAGATGTCTGGCAGACGGGAGGAGAGAGCCAGCACCCTGCAGTCTGACGAGGGCAGGGTACCACTGTTCTCCTCACAGGCACTTCCAGGGGTCAGTACCACACACTGCAGGCTGGCTTCAGCTCCCGCTCCCAGGGCCTCAGTGGGGACAAACCCTCGGTGAGTGAGGCCCTGCCCAAGCTAGGCAGTCTTCGCGCTGCCGTCTACCCCGAGGGGGAGGCTCTGGGGTGAGAGGGGATGGGCGCCAGGTGACCCAGGCACCCCTCACCACCTCCTCCCGCCCACAGACCTTCCGGCCCATCGCCACGCCAGCCTATAGCCCGGCCTCCTGGTCCTCCCGCTCCGCCGTGGACCTGAGCTGCAGTCGGAGGCTGAGCTCTGCCCACAATGGGGGCAGTACTTTTGGGGTGGGGTACCCCCAGTCCACCCCACCCATGCCCGCCCGTCCCGTGTCCTTCCATGAGCGGGGTGGAGTGGGCAGCCGAGCTGACTATGACACGCTGTCCCTGCGCTCACTGAGGCTGGGGTCTGGGGGCCTGGATGACCGCTATAGTGTGATTTCTGAGCAGCTGGAGCCTGCGGCCACCTCCTCCTACAGGGCCTTTGCTTACGAGCGCCAGGCCAGCTCCAGCTCAAGCCGGGCAGGAGGGCTGGACTGGCCAGAGGCCAGTGAGGGGCCCCCCAGTCGAACCATCCGTGCCCCAGCCATGCGGACTCTGCAGAGATTCCAGAGCAGCCACCGAAGTCGCGGGGGCACTGGGGCAGTGCCGGGGGCTGGCCTGGAGCCTGTGGCCCGAGCGCCATCAGTGCGCAGCCTCAGCCTCAGCCTGGCGGACTCGGGCCACCTGCCTGACATGCGTGGGCTGGACAGCTATGTTGGCCATCGCACCCTGCAAAGGCTCAGCAGCGGGTGAGCCGGTGGGGTCTGGGCAGGGAGGGGACTTTGCCACACAGCCTGGCACAAACCCAAGGTCAACTTGATCCTGTCCCTGGCTCTGCAGCTTTGACGACATTGACCTGCCCTCAGCGGTCAAGTACCTCATGGCCTCAGACCCCAACCTGCAGGTGCTGGGAGCAGCCTACATCCAGCACAGGTGCTACAGTGATGCTGCAGCTAAGAAGCAGGTGACTATCCCACTGACCACGCTCTCCTGCCTCTTGGTGATCACACGGCTTGTCCTGGCTTCCCCTGGTGACCACCTTCATCATCTCCCGCCTCTCCCTGACCTCTGGTCTTTGACCACCCCTCATTAATCTCCAAGCTGACTGAGCAGACCCCCAACCTGTTTAGAAACCTTCTCAGCAAGAGGGGCAGGGAGGTGTCATTTCTGTATATCAGCACACATCTGCATTACCTGCACATACCTGTGTTGCCTGCATACACCTGCACATACCTGCATCATCTGCATATACCTGTCGCCTGAATATGCCCGTGTCATTTGCACATCTGCGTACACCTGCACATACCTTCACCTGAGATACCTGAGTCTCCTGCATACATCTGTGTCACCTGCATATACCTGCACTCATTTGCACACATGGATGTCTGCATGTACCTGCACAGCCTGCACACACCCACACACATCTGCACACGTGTGCCGCAGGCCCGTAGCCTCCAGGCTGTGCCTAGGCTGGTGAAGCTCTTCAACCACGCCAACCAAGAGGTGCAGCGCCACGCCACAGGTGCCATGCGCAACCTCATCTATGACAATGCCGACAACAAGCTGGCCCTGGTGGAGGAGAATGGCATCTTCGAGCTGCTGCGCACACTGAGAGAGCAGGATGATGAGCTCCGCAAGAATGTCACAGGTGTCCCCTGTCCCACTTGCCCTCCCACACTGTCCTCTCCCCAGCATGTCCCCCTCCCCTGCTGACACTGTCCCCTCCTCCATGTTGTACCCCTAGCAACTGTCCCCCTCCCCGCCTCCTGCCCACAACGTCCCTCTCCTTCCCTTCCCCATCTCCACTGTCTCTGGTCTTGCCCCTCCATTCCCATCTCTTGCCTTGTGTTATTGCCATGTGGGGGACTGAACCCAGGGCCTCCCCCATGATAGACAAGCCAGCCACTGAGCTGCACCCCAGCCACCTCCATCCCCAGGCCCGTCACTCTGATGGTCATATGAGGGTGTCCCCAGTGGGATTCTTGGTTAAGGCACAAAACATCCAAGAGGAGTAGGGAGTGTCCTCTGCCTGTCCTCAGAAGAGCCAGAGGGGAAGCAGGCAACCCATCCTGACCACAGCCTCTGGCACCTACCCAGGCATCCTGTGGAACCTGTCGTCCAGCGACCACCTGAAGGACCGCCTGGCCCGGGACACGCTGGAACAACTCACAGACCTGGTGCTGAGCCCCTTGTCAGGGGCAGGGGGGCCCCCCCTCATCCAGCAGAATGCCTCTGAGGCCGAGATCTTCTACAATGCCACGGGCTTCCTTAGGTGTGTCAGGTGGGGGGTGGGAGAGGCCATGGCAGAGCCAGGTGCTGAGGGGTGGAGAATGTCTACAGCAGCTTGTCGTCTGAGGCCTGAATGACAAGGTGGAGCTGGCCAAGGGGCTGGGAGAAGTGGAAAGTTGGGTAAGACTCAGGCCAGGTGTGGTCACTAGGTGTGGGTGTCACAGCCCTGGCTGCAGGCTCAGGTTTCATTAAGTCAGGTTCCTTGATCCACATTTCTCTTCTTCCCAAACTGCAAGGAGAGGTTGGGGGACGGGCATGAGGGACAGGGCCAGCAGTGTCCCTGGGGACTAGGAATAGGAGGTACCCAAGGGCCAGCCCACTTTGGATGGAGAAGGTACTAGTGCCTCAGGATCTCATACCTAGGGCAGTGGCTTGGGGTTGGGACCCTCGGGGGGTGGGCTCTGTCAAGATCTCTGGGGGGGCTCTGATCTGCCTCTGTCCCCAGGAACCTCAGCTCCGCCTCCCAGGCCACTCGCCAGAAGATGCGGGAGTGCCACGGGCTAGTGGACGCGCTGGTCACCTACATCAACCATGCCCTGGACGTAGGAAAGTGCGAGGACAAGGTGAGGGCCGGCTGGGCCCCGGGGGCCAAGGCTCCAGCCCACTCTGACCCACTTCTGCCCTCTGCAGAGTGTGGAGAATGCCGTGTGCGTGTTGAGGAACTTGTCCTACCGCCTGTACGATGAGATGCCTCCCTCAGCCCTGCAGCGGCTGGAGGGCCGGGGCCGCAGAGACCTGACTGGGGCACCACCGGGAGAGGTGGTGGGCTGCTTCACACCACAGAGCCGGCGGCTGCGTGAGGTGGGCACGGTCCTGGGTGGACAGGGGCAGGGACTCCAGCCTGATGCTCCAGCCCCGGCTGACCACACCCTCTCACCCAGCTGCCTCTGGCGGCCGACGCACTCACATTCGCAGAGGTGTCCAAGGACCCCAAGGGCCTCGAGTGGCTGTGGAGCCCCCAGATTGTGGGCCTCTACAACCGGCTGCTGCAGCGCTGTGAGCTGAACCGGCACACGACTGAGGCAGCCGCAGGGGCTCTGCAGAACATCACCGCCGGTGACCGCAGGGTCAGTGGGCCTGCTGTCCCCAAGACCCCTGTCTTCCCCATGGTGTACTGGACACAGGACAGGAGCTACTCCCCAGGAGTCCACCCTGTTGGGGGAGGGACACTGAGAAGGACCCATGGCCAGGCTCACAGTTGTCCCAGGGACCGGGCTCTGGGAGGTCTGAGCAGAGGGGCTGCCTGGTCAGGCTGTGGTCGGGGCAAAGGCAGAGGGGGGCGGTAGGAGGTAGAGAAGCAGCCATCTTTGCCCGGACAGGGCCGGCTGGTTCCACCCTCACGGTCCTTCCCCGTCCTTCCCTGCAGTGGGCAGGTGTGCTGAGCCGCCTGGCCCTGGAGCAGGAGCGCATCCTGAACCCACTGCTAGACCGAGTGCGGACTGCAGACCCTCACCAGTTGCGCTCACTGACCGGCCTCATTCGAAACCTGTCTCGGAATGCCAGGAACAAGGACGAGATGTGTGAGTGGGGCCACGCCAGCTGGGTTCTGCCACACCCTGCCCAGCCTGCAGTGGAGCACCTCTGTTGGCTTCTCACTGCCCCAGGCGGGCAGGCAGCCAGGATGTGAGCAGCTGGGACGGGACACTAACAGTCTCCTGACTCCCGCAGCCACCAAGGTGGTAAGCCATCTGATTGAGAAGCTCCCTGGCAGTGTGGGCGAGAAGTGCCCCCCGGCTGAGGTGCTGGTCAACATCATAGCTGTGCTCAATAATCTGGTGGTGGCCAGTCCCATAGCTGCCCGAGACCTACTCTACTTTGACGGGCTCCGAAAGCTGGTCTTCATCAAGAAGAAGCGAGACAGGTAAGGCCAAACCCAATCTGCAGCAGCCTGGCCAGGGCACCCAGTCACCCTGCCTCCTGACCCTGACCCTCTGACTACCCTAGCCCTGACAGTGAGAAGTCCTCCAGAGCAGCCTCCAGCCTCTTGGCCAACTTATGGCAGTACAGCAAGCTCCACCGTGACTTCCGGGCGGTACGTTCTACAAAGTGAGGCAGGGTCATGGGGCACAGCCCAAGTGCAAGGTATGGAATGTTGGGGGGGGGACACAGAACCCATGTGGAGTAGGAGATCTGGGCCTAGAGATTAGGGCTCCAGGTCACACCTAGCACACTGTGGGGAAGACAGGGGTCTTGGCGACAGCAGGGCAAACACATGTGGGCCCTGACCCAAGACCCCTTTCCACTGCAGAAGGGCTATCGGAAGGAGGACTTCCTGGGTCCATAGACGAGGACCTCCCGGAGAAGGTGTGAGCCCAGCTTCCGAGGAACAGGCTCAGCTACAGCTGCTTGCCATTGGCTTGGAGGAGGAGGCTGCTGGCATCTCTCCACAGAACCCCACATGCACCTTCAAGGGGCCTGGGCCACCCCGAGGGACAGGGCTTGCAGCTGGGGATTTGGCTTCTGCGGGCAGGGGATCGGGCAGGGGTTGAGGTTGGTCTGGTATATGGGTGGTGACCTGGTCATAAATGGGGCTGGCCATGGCCTGGCAGTGCCTCAGGATGGCAGCACTGGGAATAAAGGTGGCCATGAACACAGCCAGCACCCCATGAGCTTCCATAGGTGGCCGCCAATCCCAGGACTTGTAGTGTCCCCAAGCACACTCACCTGCCTCTGAGGACTCTCACCCCTGGGTTCACCCATATATTTTCCAAGGTCAGAAGCAACAGAGGAGTGAACAGCAGAGATGGCCTCTGTGCCACCTGAGGTACAAACGCAGCAGGAGCAAAGGAGGGATGGGGGTGGGGGGTGGTACTCATTCAGCAAATATCCCACACCCTCCACCCAACCCAGGCTGGTTCCAGGGGGCTCAGCCCTGCTCACAGGCCTGGAGGTACCCCAACCAGGTGTTCTCATACTGGCCTCTCAAGGCTTGGCCTCCAGGAGGCCTAGGACTCCCACCCATCTGACCCAGAGCCCTCTTGGTCCTTTCAAAGCCCAGAACTTGAGAACTCTAAGGGGAATGTCCCCTCCAGAATCTGTCCAGATCAGGAGGGTTGGGACAGGCACACCTCCAGCCAGGGATCAGGCAGGGAGCTTGGGGCTACTGAGCTAGCTCAGGATGGGAAAGAGGGAGAGAATGGATGGCCAGGCTGGAGACAGGGTTCTGGGGAGGACCAGAGGTAGGGTGGAGGGCTTGAAGAAGACACCAGCCAGAGGAGGCCAACAAGGCCTAGGCAAAAGCCAAAGGACTTTATTTTCTGGCATTCCTTCCCTGAGAGGCCCAGGGCTACAGGCTGGGGTTGTGGTCCTGCCTAGCAGAAACCTGCCAGCGCCCGCCCCCACAGCTGTCCCCTGTGGTCCTGTGCTCCAGGCTGGGGCCAGGGCTACACATCGTCCTCAGACACCAGGCAGTAGAAGTCTGTGCGAGCACTATAGTTTCGGGAGCCGAGGTCCGAGACATCCACCTCATTGCCGTGGCCCTCTCCCAGTGAGACACCACCTGTACGCAGTGGAGCTGGTGGCTCCCCAAAGACAGGTCCTTGTACACCTGCCAGGGACCACAAGGCATGAGGCTGGGCTGTCTACAGCCTGCCCCACTGCCTGGGGTTCACACCTGCTTACCCCCAGCCATGGTGGCACCAGAGGCCCAGGGAGGCCTTGGGCCACAGCAACTTCTGGGAGAGGCAGTGAGAAACTTCTGGGGCTGGGGTGGGGGAATCAAACCTCATGGGCTGCAGGGGCTTTCCATGGGGGGAAGTCCTCCACCCCTTCACCCCAGGCTGGGTGCCTCAGGTCAGGGATGGGGACGGATGGGCATACCCAGGTCTCCCTCAGGGTCAGGGTCCAGCTCAGGCTCCAGGGCCCCGCCCTCCACAGGGCCTCGCACGATCAGCATGGGGTCCTTGTCCTCCTGTAGCCGCGTCTGAGGGTCTCCCTCCACTGGCCTGTACTGCACCTTCCGCGGCAGCGCAAGCTGTAGCTCTTTCCAAAAGTCGGAGGAAGGTGTCTGGGGGCCAAGTGTGTGTGTGTGTGTGGGGGGGTGTCAGCGTGAATATGTGCATGCAAATCCGAAGCCCTGGCCACCCTGGTCCCAAAGAACAATGCCAGTGCTGACCCAGAGGTCCCCGGGTCTGGCAGTGTACTATCAACACCCCACCCTGCGCTTCCCACACCTCCTGCCCACCAGCGCGCACCACAGAGCCAGGCCTCCAGAGCAGCAGGGTCACCAGGTGGCGGTGCTGGCGCAGCAGGTGCAGCGCGGGGTGCGTGGGGTCGCGCCTCTGGCCCTCGAAGGTGACGAAGATGGGTCTGCGCGTGAGCTCCAGCAGTCTGCACAGGCCCTCCCTGCGGGGGTGGGACCGTCAGGCGCGGCGCGGCGCGGGGCCCCCCCCCATCCCGCGCGGACGCACCGGAAGCTGTGGCTGCACCAGGCCCGGCCCAGGAAGGCGTCTGAGAGAACCACGATGAGGCGGCGGCAGCGGCTCAGGTTCACCAGGAGGTCCGCCGAGGGCTCTGCGAACCGGCGCCGGAGGGAGCGCGAGTGAGGGGAGGGGCCCTCGTAACACGGGGGCGGGGCCAGAGGTGAGGGCGGGGCTCTGTGGGGGCGGGGCCGGCGGAGAGGGCGGGGCGCTACCCGCGTGAGGCAGGAGGTCGCGGTCATCCAGGAAGAGCTTGTAGCCGCGACGACGCTCCAGCTGTGGCTTCAGGATGAAGTTCACAAACTTGCGGTCCTCGGGACAGTCGCTGTAGGAGACGTAGGCGTCGTAGAGCTTCCCGTCTGTGGACAGTGGCCAGTCAGCCGCAGCCACTTCCAAGACCTTGTGTCGCCCTCTCCCCATGCCTCAGAGTCCCCAGGCCAGGCACCTCTCCCAACTTATACACCAGGTCCTGGACTTTTTCCCCTGCTTTCGACCCAAGCGCTGTGTCTGCTCTCCCGGGCCACACGGAGTCACACACCCCTTCCGGCTTGCGCACCCCAGACCCTCAGGGACTACAGCCTTCCTGCCCCTACCTGCAAGGAAGAACTCCCTCTACCCAGGGCTGAGCCTGGCCCTGCCTCTTCAGGACTGAGGGGGACACTGCTTCCTTTCTTGTCCCAGCGGAACCCAGCACATCCACCGCCCATGGGCACCATTCACCTCCACCTCCCTGAACTCACCGTTCACCTCCACCTCCCCGTAAGTGTCTTGGTACCAAAGTAGCACATTGAGGCGACACTTAACGTAGAGCAGCACAGCCAACAGCAGAGCCAGCAGGACTAGGAGGGAGGCCAGTACCGCAGCTACGTGGCCTGCGGGGCCTGTAGACAGTGTGGACCTGAATGGCTGCCCCTCCAGACTCAAGGTCCCTAGGTACCCCCTATCTTATGTCCCCATGTGCCCTCCTCACCAACTCTCTGGAGAAGGAAGGAAGAGGAGCTGACATTCTGGACAGAGCAGGTGTAGGCCCCATAGTCCTCATCGCTGGTCAAGTTGACCCCCAGAATACTGGATACGAGCATCTCTGAGAAGTTCGCCTTGACCCTGGGAAAACCAAGCTAAACTCTTGGGGCCTGAAAGCATCACTGGATGTCCCAGGGATCCTTCTGTCTGGGACTCATCCAGGAAGCTGCAGATTTGGGCTTCCTGGGTAGTTCTTGAGCCATAAGCTAAGAGAAATGGCCAGAACCTAGAAGCGTCTGTTCTAAGACAGTTACCTTAAAACTGAGTCTGGATCCAGGGGGCTCCTCTGAGCTCAGATTTGACTGGATGGTCAATACCTCACTCAAGTCCTAGGATTCTGATGGCACACACAGCCCTGGGCAGTCTATAAGATGAATGTCTACAGGGTCATGAAAATGCCAAGATCTGTCCCTGTGGTCACTGACCTTCATCTGTATCCACAGGGGCACTCTGCCCATGTCAGACTGGCCAGTCAGTATTCAGCCCATATCCAGGTGGTTACAGACAAGGGTGTGGTTGCTTTGACCCTGGACACCCCAGTCTCTTACCAGAAATCCTCATGGAGGACGTAGTCACTTCCATTGCCCAGTGGAAGCCCATCTTTTAGCCACTGGACTGAAGGCTGTGGGCAAGAAGGCCCAGGGACCACCCAAGCTGTGCAGTTCAGTGTGACTGTACTACCCAGGGAAGGCCCCAGGAGCTGGTCTTCAGAGGGGGAGAGGAAGTCAGGGGCCCTGTCACAGACTCCTGTAGAGAGAGGACACAGTGGGTCAGTTCATCCACAGGTGGTCTGTGGTCTAGGAAGACAAGGCAGCAGATGAGGGGTGTGCTCTGTGTTCCTGCTACAATCATCCATGAATCCCATGGGGACAGGACCTAGCATTTGACACTCTTCCCCCAACAGTGGCCAGTCTGTGTTCTGCCTGTCCTAGATGTGACCACCCTGTGCTTGGAGGGGACATTAGAAGGGAGGGAAGTGACACAGGATCCATCTGGCTGCTTGTCCATACAGGACATGAGTCCAGCCCCATTTCCCATCCTAGAAGAGGGTCACTGCACCCCTCACCTGGCCTGCCCCTGCTGGAGGAGGCAGGAAATGTGGACACCAGTGGAAAGGGCTGGGAACCCGCCTGCCTCCCTAAAGGCCCTGACCCTCTGGTCTTTGAATCAGGGTAATGAGCCCTGGCAGGAGGTCAGAGGAGTAGACTCCATCAGCTCAGTAATGTAGTCTCCCACCAGTCCTCATCTACCACCCCACACTGGATATCCATGCATTTCCCAGTGGAATTCCATCTCTTAGCCCCCATGCACCTGGTCTGTGGCCTTGGGACAGTGAGGACTTCAGGCTCAACCTCACTACCTGTCCTGGGCTCAGTGGCAAGGGCTGGGGCATGGAAGAGCAGAGGCCTTTGTACCCCGGGTGTGCATCCCAGTAGAGAGCGAAGGGCATGGCCTGGAGCCAGCCTGAGGACAGGAAGTGGGAGTCAAGACTCAATGCCTGTCCCTCTCTGACCCACCTACCTGCCATGGCTCTGGCCTGGGCCTCGTCAGGGTAGGCTGGACACTGGTGTCACCCCTGGCTCCACGGGGATCCTTAACCAAGCAGACTGGTCCACTGATGGCTAAGCAGGACCCCTCTCTGTTCTTGTGACCAGTTGGAGAGAGTTCCTGGACAGGTCAGAAGCTGCTGCCATCCCCAGGGAACAAATTAAACAGGAATGAGATGAGTTAACCGTTAGCCACAGGCTCACTGGCCCTGTACCAGGCAGCTGCCTTGCCACCAGGGTCAGCCTCATAGGTGCCAGGGGATCTCCCAGACAGCAGCATGGCCAGAGTAGGCACTGCTTCACAGGACACAGCGGGCAGGGAGGGGACACATCACACCTGTGGAGGCTCAGCAGGATCAAACTTGCATAGAGATATGGAGGGGCCTCCTGGGCACCCCTTCTCCTAGCTCCCAGCATGATCTCCCATACAGAGTCCTGGACTGTTCACAGTCCACAGCAGCCCACACACCTCATGACTCAAAAGGCTCTGCAGATCGGCCGTGGTGGCACACGCCTGTAATCCCAGCTCAGTAGTGTAGTCTCCCACCAGTCCTCATCTACCACCCCACACTGGGTATTCCTGGGCTTTACAGGCCTCCATGTACCTGGCTGAGGCAGGAGGATTGCAAGTCCAAAAACAGCCTCGGCAAAAGTAAGGCACTAAGCAACTCAGTGAGACCCTGTCTCTAAATAAAATACAAAAAAGGCTGGGGTTGTGGCTCAGTGACTGAGTGCCCCTGAGTTCAATCCTCCGTACCAAAAAAAAAAAGTCTCTACAGCATGAGCACATTCCTATCAGTCTGACCAGGGGTCTTTCCATAAGAACTTGGGAGTGGAGGTCAGTCCTAGGGAAGTCCTTGAAGCAAAAGAACTGACCACTGAGGGTCTGTGGAAGACTCGTCAGGTTGTGCCCTGATGTCAGAGATTGTGCCTTCAGCCCAGCAGGTCCCAGGACATCTCCTTTAGTGGCCTCTAGACCTCCCCAAGCTCAGAAGACCTTGAATCCCTGCAAAGGCAGCCTCAGACCCTCCTAGAAGTCAAGGCCAAACCACCAGGATATGACACAGCGAGGCAGCAGGTGGCCTCCCCACACCTCTTCCCCAGCACCCCCACACCTCTCTGGCCCCCACACACCTACACTGAGCTCACCTTGGCTGGCATGCACACATGCATCCTCTACACAGTATGCTTCCTACCACACACCCCTCCCACTATTGCACAGGGCTTAGGTGCACGCACCTCCCACACCTCCAGGGCACACGCTTGTGACGCTCCCACGAACTCAGGACCAAGAGCACCCCACAGCACACATGGCACCTCCTGCTGCGCCCACCCCCCCAACACACACACACACGTATATGCACCCCAAGCACTACGGGCCTCCCTCAGCCAGGCCCAGCTCCAACAATAGGCCCTAAAGCCACAGGCTCACTTAGAGCAGCAGCGAGGGCAGTCACCTGGTTCCAGCTCTTTCCTCCCAGGGGTAGCTGGTCACTGAGATCATTGCTTTGCTCTAGGAGCACACTCCACCTCAGCCAGGTCCCAGGGAGCGGCCACAGTACTGCAGATGCATCACCAAGCTCAGTGAGGACCTGGCTTTTGTTGATGTATTTTAATCAGAACTTTCCTAGTAGTTTCCTGGCCTTGCAGTCACATCCTCTCCTAACCCTAAACCCCACCCAGGCACCCACCCCTTCCCGGGGGCGGGCAATTGGTGGCTCTTGCCCCGCCTGCCTCGTTCTTCCTGTAACTCTGAGTCAGAGGGCCCCTTCCTTTGGGGCCTGTCCCAGCCCCCCAGGCACTGCACAGAGGCCCTATGCAGAGTGGATGTGGAGTGCTCACAGGAGCAGAGGTTCGGGATCTTGACAAGGAGATTCCTATCCAGAATCTCAGGAGAGACAGTGGGGCAGGAGGGCCACATTCAGGAGCAGAGGAGATGTCTCTTGCTCCCTGCAAAAGTGAGCATACCTAGGCACCTGTGACCTCTGATGTGCCTGGGTGAGGGATCCTTCAGAAACTCTGGGCCGATAATGAGGCCTAGAATGGGCTCTCTGATCCTCTCCCTGACCACCTCCCAGGCATAGCAGAGGGTCATGGCATCTTCGGGACCTTAGCTGCAGGCCGGGTCAAGGAGCACTCCCAGTTTTCCAGGTAAGGAGGCAGAAACAGGAGGCCACAGGCTCTGAGTGTAGGTGGAGGTCACTGCTGTCTCCTGCTGCACCAATGACTCTCCCAAACAATCCTGGGCTTTGGGGCCAGTGACAGGTAGTTGGCACTGCCATGGACCAGGAAGGGGTCTCCTCCAACACCTGGCCCTGCCATCACCTGCAGAGGGGGAGGGCCTCATCCTGGAGGACTCCCTTTCAGTCCCCAAGTGGGCCCAGCAGGGCAGTGTCCTCATTATAGCGGCAGGTTTTCTTATACCCAGGCCTACCCAGACCCAGGTGGCCTGGTACACAAGACCCTCAGGTGACTCAGGTGACAGCGCATCTTAGGCTCTGGGCTGGAAGAGCTGGAGGGAACATATGTGCCCCTCCAGCCTTGATTTCCTCAGTGCCTTTTTTTAATACCAGGGATAAAAAAATCCAGGAAACTTAACCACTGAGCCACATCCCCAGTCCTTTTTATTTTTCATTTTGAGACAGGGTCTCACTAAGTTGCTTAGGGCCTCTCTCAGTTTCTGAGGCTGGCTTTGAAGTTGCAATCTTGCTGCCTCAGACTCCCCAGCCACTGGGATCACAGGACAGCTATGGGATCACAGGCGAGCGCCACCACACCCAGCTCCTCAGTGCTTCTGACTTAGTATTTGCAGGTGCCTGATGGGCCATGATAACTGGTCGACTCTTCATGGAGGCAGTGTGGTGCTCCTCACATTGCAAGTCAGGACCCAGGCACAAGGACATTGAGAAGCACTCTGGCCAGAAGCAAAGAGGGAGGCCCTGCAGCACTGAAGCCTATGCCCCAGCCAGCCTCACCACCTCTAGAAGCCCTTGTCAAACTTTCTGAGACTCTGTGTGTGCATCTCTGTGTGTCCCTACCTCTCAGAGCCACCTGCTACCTTTGTGAATGGATGCCCCTTTCCTTCCTCCCTCTGCTAAGGTCCACCACGCCCCCACCACGCACCTCCAAGTCAACCATATCTCATGCTCACCCCGACAGCCTTTCTGAGGTGCTCCAGGTCCCCGGAATCGAAATCCAAGCCTAGCCCCTCACCCTGCAGTGCGCGGAAAGTGCCCGCGCCTCTGGAGCTCTACCCGCTCTGCTTCTTGGCTGAGCGCTGTGCGCCCTGAGCTGCAGCTCCCAGCCTGAGGTGGCCTGGCCCCGCGGGCCAGGGACGGCTCCCCTGCCCGCCCCGTCTGGCTTGCTGCTCAGCACCCCAGTCTGGGAGCGTCTCCTGCTCATCTCCCACGCGCGGCCCCTCTGCTACTACGTCGTACAGAGATCCCAGACGTCTTTCCTGAAGGAAGCAACCCGTGTATAGGCGGGTACAGGGTAAAAGCGGGTACAAGGACACTCAGCTCTCCCAGACCACGCCTCCGTGTGGCGCGCTCGGCCTTCCGGAGAGGTGCCCGGCCTTGGTACCGCTACCCTCCAAGGTGCAGTCAGCAGCTGGTTCGGGGACGCGCTGAGGGCGGGAGCGTGCAGACGGCGAGTCTGGGAGCGCCCCGAGGGCCGCAGAGCGCCGGTGGCGGACACTCCGCCAGGGACCCCCGCGAACCCCGGCCCCAGCCAGTTTACCCGTCCGCCCCGGGGCCTGAGGAGACCCCAGGTTTGGGATCCGGGCTGGCGGCGGGTGTGGGGTCCTCGGCTCTCTTGCACTGAGGGTCCCGAGGAAGCCACTGACCACGCCAGGCAGAGCGGGAAAAAGCAGCCCCCCACCCGCGAGGCCTTGAGGGGCCGGGACGCGGGCGCGCTCTGGCTTCCGGGCGACGCGGGAAGCCCGCCTGGCTCCCAGCCACTTCCTGCGGGGCCGCGCCCGCCGCCGCCCGAGGTTCTTCCGAGCCAGGAGCGCCCTGAGCCCCCAACTCCAGGCCTGGAACGACTCAAGAGGACGGCGACTTCCACTCACCTCCGCGGGTCTGAGTCGCGCCACTCACCTGCTGCCAGACCTGGGGCTCGCGCGGGGGCGGGGCAGCTCACCTGGCCCAGGTGCTCAGCAGCGACCGCCCTGGCGGTGGCGGCAGGTGCAGCCCCGCCCCGCGGCCAGGAGAGGGCGGACCCAAGTGTCCTGCTTTACCCCTGAGGCAGGCGCGGGAGACTGTCCTGGGCTCAGCCAGGAGCCCAGAGCCGCGCCACCCAGGCACAGAAACAGGAGCCAAACCGGCCCAACCCACCCGCAGAGAAGCTCAGAGCCCGAGGGAATCCTCGGAGATTCTGATGTCCCAAGGTGACTTTGTGGCCTTTCCCTACTACTCCCGCACTTACCTTTCCTCCAGGAAGCCTGTCTTGACCCTCATCCCACCTGTAATTGGCCCTGATGTCTTTTTGTACAATATTTATTTTTTAGTTGTAGGTGGACACAATATCTTTATTTTGTTTTTATGTGGTGCTGAGGATGGAACCCAGTGCTCATGCTGCTAGGCCGAGCTCCAAACCTGCACTCGGTCACATTTTCAAACCAGAGGAAGGCCAGACCACCTGAGGCTACTGAATACCTGATCTTCCACACTCTGGGCTTCTGAACTGCATATAGCCCAGGGCAGACATAACCCACCAGAAACCTGAAATCAACACTGTCATGTTTAATTTCAATCAACAACTCATAAATGAACACTGTGATGTTTAATTTTATTATAGAAAGTTCTACTGGCTGAGGGGAACCAGTCCCATCCAGTGGGGAGCCAGAACAGTGGACTTGGGGCTCCCCATCCTCCAGAATGGGGCAAAGCAGGATCTGGGGCCCAGATATCAGAAGGAAGCCCAGGAAACTTGGGCCAATTTTCATGCATTGGAACTGCATACGAAGTCCTCCCAATTCTGTGGGTGCCAGGATCACCCAGGATTCAGGTCAGGGTGGTCCCAAGCATGAGCCCTAACAGAGATGGAGCAGGCCCCACAGACACACGTGTATGGTTCAGAGATGACCCAAACACACATGGAACGCCTGTGACCCCCACATACTCGAGGGCCTCCCAGGACCCTCATATAGCCACGTATACATCGTGAACATGGACCCCTAAGACCACCCACCTATCACAGATCTCCTAGGACTCCACGTATACACAGCTTCTTACAAGCCCCACACACACTCGCACACACACACACAGCCACGGGCAGGGCCAGGACGTGGAGACAGTGACAGCTGCAGGATCAGGTCTCTGGCACCAGCACCTCTCCACCTGCTCCAGGTCGCCTACACATCTGTGCTCTTGGAGCTGGAGCTGGAGGTAGGGTGGGGTTGGTGGGGACCAGAGGCCAGAGGCTCTCCCCAGGTCTGGACCTGCCCCCACCCAGCCAGCTTCCGCCTGCCTACCCCATCTTATCCCGCAATATCCGATACTTCTCCTCCAGAACCTTGTTCTTCACCGACTGGGGAACATCAGGCACATACCACGCGGCAATAAGCTTGATGCACAAGGCCACATGCTGGGGGCAGGGATAGGAACACAGAGAGCCAGCGGGGTCACGGGCTGCACAGGGTCTGGAGGGTTGGGGGTTGGGAAGAGGGCCTTCGCCCAGGTCTCCCTACCTCAAAGAGGATGACGAAGGCGAGGCGGATGGCCAGGAGGAACCAGAACTGCTCTGAGAAGTTGTAGTCCTGTGCATTGCGGTAATCCCGGTACCTGGGGGAGGGAGGTGTCTGCAGCCAGGAGTCAGGAGTTCCGAGGGAATTCATGGGTGGTGGGGAGCTCCAAACCTGCACTCGGTCACATTTTCAAAGCCCTCTGTCTCAACAGGGTCCTGGAAGTCCTTGGTGTAGAAGACGGACAGGCTGTGGTTAACGTAACCCTTGAGGCAGCTGGGGAGGAGAGGAGAGAAACATGGGGCCAGGGTGGAGCCAGGGTGGCCTCTCATTCCCCAGGGTTGCTCCCAGGAGCTGCCCTGTATCTGGTGGGGGCACACCCCCAGCCTCTTCCACTTCCCTGTGTGTGGGGGTGGGGCACTGGTCTAGAACATGGCTGTGCCTGGGAGTCTAGGGATGGTGGAGGGGCCTCAGGAATGCTACCAGCTGCCTTCTCTGCCGGGGCCTGGACACAGCATTCCAGAGCCTGTCCCAGGAGACCAGTCTGCAGGCACACGGGCCTCTTGAGGGTCAAAGGAACTGGAGGTGGCTGAGCTCTGCCCTCCTATGCTGGAAGCAGGACACAGGAGGCCCACCTTTGGGAGGGGGTCATTCTGAGAGTGCCTGCTCACAAAACGTCTAGGGCCCAGACCAACCCCCTGTCAGGTCCAGTCAGTTATTTCTGGGCTCCAGCCAGGGTTTGTAGGCTGCTGCATAAAGGCAGTACATATCCCCCATGTCTCAGCCTCACCAAAGCCCTAGGTCACATTGACAGCATCCAGCCATTCCCAGGAGAGAGGGCCCAGGCTCCCCTGGGGCTTAGCAGTAATAGGGCCATTATCTCAGGGGTGTCTAGATGGTTTGAGGCCTTACTCTTCTGCAGACTGATTCCCCTGTCGACACGGGCCATAGCGGTACTTGTAGACGACTCGGGGGATGAACTCAGACGTGAAGGCAATGACCATCCCGTTGGCAATGACCGCCAGAACACCGATGGTCTCCAGCACCTGCAGCCAGGTCCCTGAGCCAGAGTAAGAGGGTGATGGGGTCTGGCTCCTAAGCCCCATTCTTTCGGCACCCCCCCCCACCAAAGGCTGGGGGCCTGAGTGCCACGGGGCCTTGTTACGGCTCTGCCCAGGGTACCCCACTGCAGTCATGGGGGCCAAGATGTTCACTAGGAAACCCCAGCTAAGAGTGCAGCCTTGCTCTACTTCCTGAACCCCACCTGACAGATGGGAGGAACTCCAGTGTCCCTCTCCATCTTCCTCCTAAGTCCCTCAGCCACCCCCAGACTGCTCCAGCCCTGCGCCCATCCCCTCCTGGGCAGGACCCCCACCCCTGAGCCCAAGGCTGGGGTTCCCACCCTCTCCCCACTTCCAGTCCCCCAGCCCCGCTGACACTGTCCATCTCAGTGTGGCCATGCTGGATGACTAACCCCTCTCCCTGCCAGGCCCTCAGAAGCCAGCTCTTCTGCCTGGACTCCCCAGCATGCTGCAAGCCTGCAGCCAGATGCGGGGCTCCAGGGAAGGGCTGCAAGGCACACCCTCCCTGCCTTTTCCTGAGCCCACCGGGCTCAACCCTTCCTGGGCAGACCCTAAGAAGGGCTGGGGGCCACTGTGAGATTGTTTCAAGGTGGCCTGGTGTGGGTCAACAGAGAGCCCATGAAGCTGCCCACGGCATCACGTCCTGACCGATGTCCTTGGCTTTGCGTGGCACCAGGCGCCGCTGCAGCCAGACCATCTTGACTGCATCCAGGCGGATCTCCACGAGGTTGCTGAAGAGCGCCAGCAGCGGAGCCAGGGGGAAGGCGGCCACAAAGATGGTGGTGAAGCCGTACTGGATCACTGCAGGGCAGAGGGGTCACCTGCGTGGCTGGCAGCACCTGCCCGCCCCACCCGCCGCCACATACTCATCTCCATGAACTCGTCAAACAGGCTAAAGGTGGTGACAGGGTTCAGTAGGTAGTTGCGCTGCCAGTCCTGGAGCTGGGGATCACAGGGCTGATGGCTGCGGGTGCAGGCTGTCATCAAACGGAACTTGTGGGCCAGCCACCTGTGAGCGGGGAGAGTGTGTGGGGTAGATGGGTAGCCCTAGGGGCCTAGAGCATCAGGGACGGGTGCTCCAGGAGGCAGGGCGGGCTGGTCCTCACGGGCGCAGGTACTCCATGCAGTTGCTCAGTGTTTGCTTCAGACCCATGATGATAGCCATCTGCACAAACAGGTCCATCATGCAGCCGCTGAGATGGCACTGTGGGGCAGGCACCAGGTCAGGGAGGGCCGAGTACAGGGGAGGAAGGGCACAGGGACAGAGTGACAGGGCTCAGGGCAGACAGACCTCCTCCAGCTTCCACAGACCAGCCAGGCGCGTGGACTTCCCAGGGTGACCATTGATCCTA